GTATCCAAAAAATATTTCTGTTTTACCTGTATTATTATTTTATATACTTAATTTTGGTTTTTGACATAGAATCAATGCTTATTCCTTTTCTAAGCAAACACATCCCAGTGCTTTTCCTGATAAAAGCGTGCTGGGCTCTACTTCGTTATTACTTCAGCTCTGATGTAGAAGCAGCATTGTGGTACTGTCAAGAGGTGCTGAGGAAATCAGACATAGAGAGAGAGAAAGTGAGGAAAAGAGCAGGTATGTGTGTATGTGTACTCATTTCAAACTATTTTATGTACATGTTTGCACACAGTCCTGTATGACATGTCTGATTACTGAAGAAAAGAGAAAAAAGCCTGATCCTTAAAACAAGCTGGCAAAAGCCCATCAAACATCTGTGCCCAGGGGTCTGTAACTCCATGATCGAGGCATGGCCACAGTACTGAGATTTTTATGACTCAAAATAACTAATGATTATCACCAATCCTAGTTTGATAACTTCTGTCCTTAATTAGCTTTGCCATTTATCATTAGAATAATGATATTAGTGAACACAGTGTTTATTCAATAATGCAACTATAAAAAAATTGCATTTATCTATAAATGCACATCACTCCGAAAGGGTTTTGCTTGCATGTGTGCTACATAATATTTTTAAAATGATAAACATGTAAATAAAAATGGGAATTAGAGAGCCTAAATGCTATGAATGCATGTTTTATATGAACTGCTGTGTAAAAGACGGTGCAATTCCATCAATGAGGCATCCGATTGGTCCCAAATTCAACCAGTTTTATCTGCACTACTACATGTAATATGTATTTCAGGGTTACAATCTCAAGTTTTTTGAGATTTTTGACATCGGATCTCCCTGCATCAGAGCTATACCAGGCATTTGGTTTAGATGATTATCTGCCTGACATTTCTACTAGAGATGGACCGATCCGATATTATGTATTGGTCCGATACTGACATAAATTACTGGATCGGATATCGGAGAGAAATAAAAAATGTAATCCGATCC